TGGGCCTGATCCAGACAGATAAACAGATTCTGCATTAGAACATTAAATTAATGTGAACTTTGGTTTCATATTAAACCACCCACAAGGGAGAGCACACTGGCTGGAGATGCAGTCTGGAGGGATAGGCAGTGGCTGGAGTAGTCAGTAGGAGGAAGCAGAGAGAACAGACAAGTCTAGGTGTAACAGGGAGAGTAGTGGCTACTGTTTATTGAGAGCTGTACATAGGTTTCCCCTAAGTCTCTCTGCACTTGGGTGATAAAAGTTTGGCCCAAATCGGCCTCTCTGCATGGTGAGCTGTCCCTTAGCTTGATGTAGACAAACGGTAATCGAGTATTCCCTTCCGTGCAGGCAACTCTGCATCGGCCAGATGGCAGGAGCCCACACCTGGAAAAGGTGTCCTGTACCATTCGCCACATCTCCAGCCCCACAGGGTTCAATTTCTAATGAATTTATAGCTCTTTATTAAGTCAATTAGCATATTAATAGGATTTGCAAATATTCCGAACAAATTTTTGTCTGCCTTTTTTCAGTTAACTTTGAGTGAGATAAGCCACTCAGATTTTTATTTTTACAGCTGATGTGTGTGTGTGTGTGTGTGTGTGTGTGTGTGTGTGTGTGTTACTGAGATTGAATCTTGAACATTCACACTGAGCTACATTCCCAGTCCTTTTTGATTTTGAGACGGTCTTGTAAATTGCTGGGTTACACAGTTGCCTTGAATCCCACTAGCAAATTCTTTTTTCTGAAATGATACATCATGTTTTATTCCGTACTTGGGCTCATTATGTACGGATGTGTTTGTAATACACTGCTCTATTTGTTGAGGCTTTATTTTTAATATCAAACAGGGCTAATTATTACTCACTACTCTGCTTCAGGTATTTGCCAGCTGTTCATCTTTTCTCTCATGAAGTGTAAAATGTTTGCTGATAGAAAAAGAAAAATCCTCAGAGTGTTGTTGGTGAATCACAGTATCAAAATTGAAGGGCAGGGCCAGGGAGATAGCTCGGCAGCACAAGCTCCTGCCAGGCAAACACAAGGTCCTGAGTTCAATGGTAGCAAAAACAGACAAACAAATTGAAGTTTAGCTTGAAGAGAACTGAAAACGTATTGACGTTTTCTTCCAACCCAAGAATTTGGTGCCTTTCCACTGATTGTTTTTACTCTAGTGTTTTGGGAAATTTATAATGTTCTCTTCACATAGCTTGCTCCTTACTGAGTTTAATCCTTGATATTGTATATATTGTTACTGGTTTAGAGAGTCTTTTATTATAACTTCTAATAGATTTCTGTCTACATTCATGAAAAGCTGTTAATTTAATCTCAGATACCTTTATTCCTATTGTTGGTAGTAAGTTTTTGGGTATTTGTTTGGATTTCTAGATATTAAATCATATCATAGTGTATTACTTTTGTCTCATTTGTGTAGAGGTCTCAGTCCACACCCAACTGATGCTACCCAATGCAAGGTGGCTTCAGGAGAATGGTTGGGGCAGAAGGAAAGTAGCAAAGCAAAAAGGTAGACAGGACTCTTTCTGTCCGTCCTCATGTTGTATGCAGGTTGCCTGCCCTAGGGCAGGTGTAGTACTGACACCCTCACTCCTGGCCAGAATTAGGCCAAACCAGTCAGGGGACTGATTTACTAATCACACACCTTTGATCCCAGGACCACTCACTCTACCACCAGCCACCTCTGAAAAAACCCTGTGACTGCGGGAGGCTTTGGGGGTACATCTAGACAAGCCACAACACAGTAATAATTTTGTCATTTCTTAAATATTCAAATCTCTATTTTTTATTTACTTGTATGACCTAATACTTCAAAAGCAACATTAGATAAAATAGTGGCAACATACCTTCTGAGACAAGTCTTTACGATAAATATTTGTATTATTTTCTTTTTGTTAAATGCATGCTGGCCTGGGCATGATGGTGCACACTTGTAATCCCAGCACTTGGGCAGCTGGTGCAGGAGGGTCATTGTGAGTTCAAAGCCAGCCTGGACTGTGTATCAATAAACAGCAACAACTCATTCTGGTTTAGAGGTTGAAACAGATAAACGTATTTTAGTCATATCTAAAAATTTTCTCCTGTTTTGAATTTTAGAAATGCTTAAATCAACACATACGTTGAATTTTGTCCAATTTTTATTTAGCATTTAAGATGATCATATTCTATTCTCTGCACATTAGACAGTTAAATACACATGAACATTAATGCTGATATATTAGGGCTGGCCAGATAGCTCAGCAGACTACAGAGCCTGCTTAGGCAGAGTACAGGAACTGGGTTTGCCGTGCTGGCCCTGCCCCCAGGGCACACTGAGATGCAACTGAGGCTGGGCGTGGTGGTGTACGCCTGTCATCCCAGCTCTTGGGAGGCTGAAAACAGGAGGATCACTACAAGTCTGATCTACGTACGAGACCCTGCAGACCCTGAACTAAATACATTTAAAAAAACTTAATATATTCTTGAATTCCCTGAACTTTCATATTGGTGTTACATTTATAGTATTTCAGTTTGTATTGATATTCATAAGGGAGATTATTCTTAAAAATTCTTACTAGGTTTTAGAATCAATATTATGTATGCTTCATTTAAAAAATTATGTTTTCTTGTGTTGTAGAACAATTACACTGGTATTATCTATACTTTGGAAGCCTGATAAAATTTTTCTATGAAAATCATCTGAGCCTGATGATAATTTTGGACACTTTGATATTCTTTTAATTTACCTTTTATTTCATTTTTGCAGTGCTGGGAATTGAACCCAGGCCTCACACATATTAGGCAAGCACTCTACCACAGAGCTACACCCCTAGCCATGTATATACATGTGTAATGTAATTTTTTTTCCAGTACTGAAGAATGAACCCAGAGCCTTTATACTAAGCTACATCTCCAGCTTTTTATTTTTATTTTGAGACAAGGTCTGGCAAATTCCTAAGTTGCCCAGTCTGGGCTCAAATATAAAACCATACTGCCTTACCCTCCCAGTACAGGTGTATGCCACCATGCTCCGTATAACTTTCTTTAACTTGTTTACTTTTTTTTTTTTTTAATTAGAACTGAGGCTCAAGCCTGCTTTCTCATGTATGCTAGCCATGCGTGCTCTACCAGTGAGCTGTACCAGCCCTAGCCTTGTATCAGTGATGGCAAACCCCTTGCAACTTTCATTAATAACAGCCTGCTGCAGCACGCATGCCATAGGTTCCCCTCTGCTGCCCTGTATTTGTAAGTCTGTTTTGTGTATTCTTACCCCCTTTAACTTGCTGGCCTGCCTTCCTGCTTCCCTCTTTTCCTCCCTTCTCCCCTGCCTTTGTCTAGATTTGAGCAAAGTAGCCAATTATTTGGACTCTTTCTTGTCTATTAAGGTGTTAAGATTATATCAATTTTGGCCAAGCAAAGGGAAAAACATTACAGGTTTTCTTTCTGAGTCATGCTTATGCTGTGTTTCATAGTAGTTTATACAACATCTTTTCATGATTATCTACTATACATTATTCAGCTTCAATTTCCTGATTCAAGAGTTGTTTAGATCTAGAGGAAGTAGGTTTGGGGCACTTTTGTTTTAATTTCTGGATTTTGGGTACTTCATGTTTCTGGTTTCGGGATTAAGTTCCAATTGTATAGCAATGTGGAATAATTTTAACAGCATTATTTCAAATTTTGTAACTTAGTGGCTTTTCTTCAAAACGCTTCCTCAAAGATGGTGGAAGAGGGGATGTGTCTTTCTTTCAGCTGACACAGCTCAGTGCCCGCGTTACCAATTGTAGCACTGTGGTCCACGGTACACACTCCGGTGCCAGACCAATGGGAGCCAAGTCCCAGGTTCACTTCTGTAATCTTATGCAAATTATTTAACTTCTCGGTGCCTCAGTTTCTCATCTGGAAAGCAGCTGTACCAATAGCATCTACCTCTTGGGACTGTTGAGAGGAGTGAGTTAATAAGCGAAGACATTTAAAGTATTATCTGAAATGAGACTATGTATGTGCTAGCTGTTGTGGTTACTTACTTCTTCCTTGTTGTTTAGTTTCTTCTAGAGCAACCTTACTGTCCAATTAGAATACAATACAAGCCACATATGCAATTTTAAGTTTAAATGTTTAAAGTAGCCATATGAAGTAAAAAGGTGAAATTTTACTTTACTATATCAAATATGTTATCATTGCAGCATGTAGTCAACACAGAAAATATTGATGTGTTTTCCATCTTTGTTTTATACTACGTTGTTGAGATCTGGCACACTTTGCACTTCGAGCACATGCCAGTTTGGGCTGGCCACGTTTCTGGTGTTCACACCTGCAGCCAGTGGCTGCCACGTTGGGCGACAGGTCTAGCGCCTGGTTTTTTTGTTACTTTGTGAGCTGAGTGAAATGAAAATCTATGTCTTCTACCATTAATGTATTTTTGTGTGTTTATCCTCTTATATGTTTTGTTCTATAAATGATGATGCTATGTAACGATGTAAAATATTCATGATTTTATTTGTGAACTGTGTTAGCATTAAAATGGGCCTGCCTTTGTCTCTGTGTTTTTTTTTTACCTTGAACTTTATCTTTAATTTTGTGTTATATTATCTTACTATAATGACCAGTGTTTCCTCTTTACATCCTTTATCTTTGGTAGGTTTTTTATTATAGCCCAGTATTGGGTTTTAGGCTCATCACTCTGAGAACCTAGTAGTGGGTGAGTTTAGCCCATTTATATGGCAGATTGGCAGATATGTTTGAACTTAACTCTTTAATATTATTTTGGGCTCTTTTTATTTTGTAACTTTTTTTTTTTTTTTTTTTTTTTTGTGAGACAGGGGGTCACTATATATTCCCAGCTGGCTTTGAACTTGCAGGCCAGTTCTTATTCTGGGATTATGGGCTTGTGCCATCATGCCTAGCTTGTTTTTATAACTTAAAAATCTTTCATCTAAGGTCTCTTTGCTTTCCTCTTTGTATTTATTCTGATATTTAAGATTTAGGGTTTTGCTTACCTTTACAATCAGGTAGAAATGCTTCCACCTGATATTTCTTTAGAAAGTATTACTGAGAAAAGTGACCCAAAACCTGAAAATAAGGCCAAAAGTGGCTGGATCTCCTTTAGGCATCATTCTGGAGCAGTGTCTGACTAGCTTACCTACAAGTGATGCCACTCAGGGACATCGGCAGTGTCTGGGGACTTCTGGGTGTCACTTGAGGAGGAGGAAGAAGTGCTGCTGGAATCTGGTAAGCAAGAAGCAGAGGTGCTGCTGGGTACCCACAATGCACAGCACTGCTCCCCTCCCAGTGACCATCTGACAGGCCCCAAGCGTCAGCAGTACAAAGGTTGAAGACTTCTCCAGGGAAATGTGCCTTTGTGTAAGTTACTATTAGGCACCAGGTACTAACTTTAAAAAAATATAAATAACATATAAATGATTTTTATCTGACACACTATTGCATACTACAGTCTAACGTAGAAAATAACTCCAAAGGTTATACCTTAACCTTACCTCCTGCCCTGTAGGATATTGTATTCATTGTCTCTTGTGTAGCAAAATACAGTACTCTGAAACAACAATAAGCCTTTATTATCTTGGTTTCTGTGGATCAGGAATTCATTAAGTAGGTTTAATTCTTTTGTTTGGTTGGTTGATTTCTTTTTTCCTTTTTTTTTTTTTTGAGATAAGTATGTTGTCCAGGCTGACCTTGAAGTCACTGTGTAGCTCAGGGTGGCCTTGAACTCATGGTGGTCCTGTCTCCTAAGCGCTGGGATCACAAGTGTGTGCCACCATGTCTAGGTAGGTAGGTTTAATTCTTGGAGAAATAATTTTCATGTAATTTGTATGTTTTTGTTTGTTCTTTGGTGAGCAGTCTTGACATTGTTTAACTGTCTTTTTTCCTCCTTCGTGTGTGTCCTGGGTTTTTGTTTAAAT